AAGAAAATCAATTCCCTATAAAATATTTTCTTTCCACCCTTTTTCCACCTTTGCAATTAAAATATATTTAACAAACGCTTCTAGATATTGCTGCCTGATATCCATATGTTAGGTACGAAATTGTATTTGATAAAGAAACATTCAACCTTGGCATATCAAGAACTACAATCTCACCGCTAAGGATAAATTCAACCTTAGCATATCAAGAACTTCAATCTCACCATTAAATTCTCCCCACTTCTACGCCAACATCAAAAGCTCCATTCGATCAAAAAACCATTTACTTAATTACAGACATTTTTGGAACACTTCCTTCGTGATAATTTACGAAGAGTTTTCACTCGTGCTGCTCTCTAAAACACCATATCAAATTCAATTTACAATTTAACTGTTGTTCAATGGCTATTATTTTGAGAAAATGATGTTTTCAATATTGAATTTTTGGAGAATGTGTTGTTAAAATATAGTAAAAAAATTTGAATTTAAGTGTAAAATATTTTATTGTGTAAATATGTGGTTAAAAATAAATATAAAAATTAAAAAAAAAATTGAAATAATTATTGTCAAACATAGTGTACCATTCTAAATACTATATCTCTTAGCCGACTTAAACATCAAAGAGACAAAGATACCATCACTCTGATGCTTTTACCGCCGTTCAATATTTTGCTTTGTTCAATGTTAATAATTATAATAATAAAGAAATGAAAAAAAATAATAAAGAAATGAAAAAGAAAAACAAAAATTAGATTATGAGCAGATACCTCTTTCTTCCGTTTCCTCCTTTACAAATTACAATTCAACAACTCCTTCGTTCCTCCGTACAAGACTCAATATTCCAGAATTCTCCATTTCTTTCTCTATATACACACACACACACACACACACACATCCACGATCATAATCTTCTCTCTCTCTCTCTCTCTTTGATCTATAAAAGCAATTCTTTCTCTCTTCCTCGTCTGAATTGATCAAGACTTTGCTGTTATTGCATGGCAGTTTCTTTCCTGAATCTAGAGGTATCAGATTTGTGCCTTGGAAAGCCTTCGCTCAGGTGGATCGCGGCGGAAGCCACCGTCTCCGAAGCCTTGACGGCGCTGAAGAGATCTGAAGAGAACTATTTGAGCGTGTGGAAATGTTGTGCTGACGAGTCTTGCGTATGCGTGGGGAAAATTTGCACGGCGGATGTGATTTGCTTTCTTTGCAGAAAGGAGAATTTGGTCAATCCTTTTAAGGCTTTTGAGGCTACGGTTTCTGATATTTTGCCCAAAGGAGTTTCTGTTGTCAGGCATTTGGATCCTAAATCCAGGTTCGTATATTTTTTCATTTGGTTTTCTAAAAAGAAATCTTGTTAAATTTTTAGACGAAATGGTCTAACGTGCCACTAATATAGAAATGTTTTTTGATTTCTGCATATTTTCCTTGTTTGACTTTCAATTTTAGATTAAAGATTCCCTGTTTCTTGAATTGAATTGGGTGCTTAGAAAATAAGTTAACAATATTTGTAAATATTATAATTTACAAACATAATTTATAAATAATTTATGATTTGTCGAGAAGGGTTTGATAAATAAGATTTTATCCGTAATGTCTTAAACTTTTAGATGAGGCGTCTAGTCAGTTAAGAACTTGGACAAATACAGATATACCTAAAATCTGTGTGCAAGAAAGATTTTTCATGGGTAGCTTAAGAATGTTTTCTAGGACCTTTGTGAATTAAATTATTTGTCAGTTTTCTCAATTTACAAGAAAAAATGTTTTCCTGGATTTTTGTTATTAATTCTTTGGTAATTGTTTAAGGTTTCTTGGGAAATGATTATGGGAGTAATAGAAAAATGTGTCTTAATCTTTCTTGCTTCTGTATATTTCAGCTTGTTGGAGGCAATAGATTGCATCCTTGAAGGGGCTCAGAACCTGGTGATACCTATCCAAAACCAGAGAAGCACATATTCAAGAAAGAAGTTCCTCAACAAACAATCCTCATACTGTTGGATAACACCGGAAGATGTTATTCGGTTCCTTCTCAATTCTATCGGAGTCTTCTCCCCAATCCCGACCTCAACTATTGAATCGTTGAATATCATTGATCAAGACATCATGACTGTGCACTTCCACGATCCTGCGTCATCTGCATTGGATTATATTTCTCGTGCTCTCGTGCAGCAAACGTCGATTGCTGTTGTTGATGATGAGGATAGAATAATAGGTGAAATTTCGCCCCTCTCTCTTGCCTGTTGTGATGAAACAGTTGCAGCAGCTATTGCTACTCTTTCGGCTGGTGATCTGATGTCGTACATAGATTACGGTGGTCCACCAGAGGATTTAGTCGAGATGGTGAAAATAAAGCTGGAAGAGAGAAATTTGGAGGCAATGTTGGAACTAATGGAGGAATGTGCTCATTCTACAGTGCCATCTTCGTCTTCTAGTTGTTCTTCCGAAGATGAGTTCGGTTC